ACGTTGTAGATAATGGTTTGTTAATGGTGGGAATTGGACCTTAAAATAAAGTGTGAACGTAAGATTTTTTTTAAATGTTTTTGAAGTCAGCGAGAATTATCACCAAGCTGTATTTATTTGATTAAAAATACAGTAAATATAGGAATATTTTTACAGTTTAAACTAACTGTTTTCTATGTGAATTTGTGAAATGTAATTTATTTCTGATGCAAAGCTGAATATTCAGCATCATTACGCCATTCTTCAGGGTCACATGATTCCTCAGAAATCATTATAATATACTGCTTTGACGCTCAAGAAACATTTCTTATTGTTATCAGTGTTAAACACAGTCGAGCTGCTTAATATTTTGTGATTTTTTTCCAGGATTGTTTTGATTAATAGAAGGTTCAAAAGGACACAGTTTATATGAAATCTTTTGTAACATTGTAAATATCTTTAATGTCATTTTTTGTATCAATTTACTGCCTCCATGATGAATAAAACTACTAATTTCCTTAAAAAAATCTTACTGAACCCACTTTTGAACAGCAAGGTACACTGTGGCCTAACCGGACGTGACACAGTTTTCTACACTGACAGAGGAAATTCTGCATGTACAACAGGATTTTGGATGAAATTTCACTCTGGGTGGAGACACTCAGTTGAAGCAGCAAAAACAGAAACCAAAAAACAAAACGTGCCTGTCAGTCACAGCAGGCTTACGACAATACAAATGTCTTTTATTGTTTGCCGCTTCATCATGTTGCGTCTAGTTCCCTTGAATAACATGTATGCCAACAAACCTCCCAGCACTAAAAACAACAGGACTTAAAGGATCAAACGTCTGGGATAAAATCTGAAATAATAGAGGATTACACCACAGATTTAACACAGAGCATTATCACACACACAAACAAATTACTGTACAATCCCACCCAACCTCAAACCTCCATCTGTTATTGAGAAGGAGGAAAGAAAAAAATATTTTTTGGAAAAAATCCATCCAGCAAAATCCAAAGTCAGCAGTAGGCGTATATCGGACGTGCTCCTGACTCACCATGAGAACTTTCCACAGCCTTTCACCAGATATAAACACAGAGATCTAAGGGGCCGTTTACACAACAACGTTTTCAGCCAAAAACTGGAAACTTTTTATGCTTTTTGCCTGTTCGTTTACACGACAACGGCGTTTTGGGGACTGGAAACGCATATTTTTGAAGACGGGTTTCAAAGTGTACGTTTTTGAAAACACCACCGTTATCGTTTCCGTGTAAACACCCAATACGGGAATCTTTGAAAATGGTGACGTCATGCGCGTACGTAGTACGTGTTAGGTATGTAGACATGCGCAGTACGTGTCGATTTTAAAGGCAAGCATGAACAAACATACACAACAATGGCGGAGTACATGGTACTGTTGTAGCTGCTCAAGAGTTTGCTAACGCTTCTTCAGCAAAGTGTGGATTTACTTCACCAATATTACAACCAACCGCGGAGACGCATCATCTACAACATATAATCGTCACTTCCGTACAGGTACTGTTTACTAACAAGATGACAGCGGCAACTACTGGCCTGGCATACGTAATACAGCATTTTTGCCCGTTTTCGCGGATATGTGTAAACGCAAATCATTTTGAAAACGTTGTCGTGTATACGTGAAACTTTTTAAAAACGCAAGGGAAAAACGTTTCCGTTTTTGACTACATCGTTGTCGTGTAAACGTAGCCTAAAATAGGTCATGATAAGAACAGCACATGATAAGAAGCGCCAATGTGCCGGGGTCTCTCTATATCCCATAATCTGTATGACCACCATCTGGGTCTTCATCGTGAGTCTGAAGTGGGGTGAAAGCAAACCTGCGCTGGCAGATGTCAAGGGGAGCAGAGCAACGGATGCTCGGATGCAATAGAGGGTGCTGTTTTTGTTGTGCAGTTTTGATGAACACGTGTACGAAGCACAAGGTGATGAATTAGTAAAGCTGCGAGTGCGAACAAAGGATCGTGGGTAATCTGACAGGCTGCGGCGCAGCCCCTCGGGGACTGAGACAAAGCGGCAGGGACGTGGGGTGGAGGCATGCTGGGTAGGCTAGTCAGCTGGCCGGGTCTTCTGCAGCCTGAAGGATGAGGGCCACAAAAGCCTGCCACGTGTTAATGACTGTATGAAAGCGTTTATGACCCTTAGCGCACTAAAGATGACATTATGGCGCAATTACTCAGCCTGCGTGCCACTCACACAATGGGCCAGGCGTTGATTCTGGCCTGAAAAGACAAAAGAGGAGGTTATACACGAGATTGAGTCACGGCCCATGCCTCTCTTGAAGTGGCTGCGTTATCTGTGTGTGTTTACACACACTTGGGTAAAGAATAGCTGAGGTGGTGCTGGGTTATCAAACTGACCTCTTGCCGGCCTTGGAAATCAAACCCTGAAGCTTATGTCCAAACAAAAGCCCAAGGGACAAGTCTTGGTGACCAAGTGCTCAAATGGCAAGTTCAGGATGTGTAGAGAAAACAAAAAAACACTATGATGTTAATTCAAGATGCAGAATTGGTTTCATTAGTCTTTCCCATGAGGCACAGCAAATATACAGCCAACCTGAGATAACTACAGACACCTGCCCAACAAGAGGACACAAACTTCAAAAGACAAAGTCCCCTGTGTTCTAATGGATAATTACAAGCACCTTCACAAACATGTGAAAAGGTCACCTGCAAGGTGCAAAGTATATTTAGGGCTAATGTTGTTCCAGGTGTGAAGGTGTACATTTAGCCTGAGAGTTTTTTCTGCCAACGCAACTGTCTCATGGTGTAGCCTATAGATAAAAAGGGAAGTGCAGTAAAGAAGTGAATTCAACTTTCAAGATTATTATTTATTTATTTAATATTGCATTCAATTTAAATGTTATATTATTATTATTATTATTATTACATACACTACATTGAAAAGTTTGGGGTCGGTATGTTTTTTTAATATTTAAAGTCTCTTATGCTCACTAAAGTTGCATTCATATGATCAAAAACACAGTAAAAACAGTAATGTTGCGAAATATTATTACACTTTAGAATAACCATTTTCTATTTGAATACATTTTAAAATGTAATTTATTCCTGTGATCAAAGCTGAATTTTCAGCATCATTACTCCAGTCTTCAGTGTCACATGATTCTTCAGAAATCATTCTAATATGCTGATTTGACGCTCAAGAAACATTTCTTCTTATCAAGTTGAAAACAGCTGAGCTGCTTAATATTTTTAAAGGAAACCCTGATAGATTTCTTTAGGATTCTTTGATGAATAGATAGTTATAAAAACAGCATTTAATTGAAGTAGACATATTTTGAAAAATTATAAACGTTATGTTCTTGCAGAATTAAACTATTAATTGCTTTCAAAAAATGGGGGAAAAACTTGTTGACCCCAAATTTTTGAACAGTAGTGTATATTATTCAATTTAATTTTAACTATTGCTGAACTTTTTTTTAACATTTTATAAAAACAACAAGCCACTCTGTATAACATTGTGCCTAAGTAACAACACTTCTTTACCATAGTAAAACCACTGTAATATTCAGCTTTTAGAGGCATATTGCTTTTACAACTATGTTATCACGACAGACTCCGACAGAGAAAAGACCCCATTTCTCTTCTGACGCCTGGCAGTTTGGGAGGTCTTATTGGAGTGGAGCATCTCTTCGCCTCTACAGACTCCCACCACACCACATCACAGAAAACATGGGGTCTTCATGCTGGAGTTGAGTGCCTACAGCTCGCTCTCAATGTACTGCCATAAAGAGATAAAATACAACGCAAACACACAGTCTGTTTATGTTATCAGGACCCAGTTTGTAAGGTGTTCCAAAGGCCAAGCACGCTGCTCTTACAGAGATCACAAACCTGGAGAAACAATACACTTCCAGCAAAAACTAACTAGTGGGACTGGGAAAACAGGCATCAGTGGGGTTCTCCAAGCAGTTCATTCATGTTAGACCATTAGAAAGCTAAAGTGCACAGAGATACGCTTAACCAAAACAGCGGTCACCATTGATCACTGTTGAGCAGACAAGCAGTCCTGAACTTTGACCCTCTGAAATAAGCTCTTATCATCAACCTATGAAATGAAAAGTAAATTGGCTCTGTGTAAGTAAATAAGGGCAAATGTGGTTGATCACTGTTTCTAATGACTTTATTTGTCATGAATATGTCTGCATGAATTCTGCAACAATCAAGTGCCACAGATTTCCACAGAATTCAAAGTTCTTCATATCGCCACCCATTGCATGTTTGTTAATTAAATATTGTGGCTAATTTGATCATGCTTTCAACCATCAATTAACATGCTTACCCATATTTAAAGGGTTAGTTAATCCAAATTTAAAATGATGGCCTCATTGACTTACCATTATTCCAAACCTGCATGACCTTATTTCTTCCGTGGAACAAAACAGGAGACTTTTAGCACACTGTAGTCTAAATACTTAAGTCTGTTCCTCACTTGAAGCTATTGTATGGCTCAAGAAGACTTGGGATATAGTGTACAAGCAATATGGACTACTTTTATATTGCTTTTTTGGTCATTTGTGGATCTTTAATGCTCCTGGTCACCATTTACTTTTACAGTATGAAAAAAGAGCAGCATGAACATTCTACTAAATATCTTCATTTGTGTTTTACGGAAGAAAGAAAGTCATACAGGTTTAGAATGGCTTGAAGGTGAATGTCCCATCACAATTCATGGAGAAAATACGCAGAATCTGTACAGCCATGAGCACCAATGTAGATCATTTAAGAGAAATACATACATACTGAGAATTGTTTTAGGTATGTCACCCAGCTCTAGTCATGGGTATATAAATAACAGGATCATCAGAATAACTATTCTAACTTGTTCACACAGTGGACCCTATAGCACCCTGGTGGTAGAACAATTGCCAATGATGGTCTGCAAAAGCAAAGATCTTCATGGATACACATGATGTCAAATGCAGTGAAAGGATAGAGAGGTAATGTACTGTTACTCACTGCTTTTGCTGGCTTTGACCTTGGCCAGCAGTTTCTGCGTAGTAGCTAGATCTCCATTCTTGACCGCTTGCAGAAGATCCTGCTCTTTTCCCATGATCTCCACCAGCCAGTACTCCACCAGCGTCCCACACGAGTCCTGCTCCTCCCTTACACCTCCATACAGCGGCGCAACCACGGCATGAACCTATCCCAGAATCCTCTCTTTCGGTAATGCTACAGTCGGGGGAGGTGACAGCCAGACGTCTGAAGGAACCACAAGCATCCAGCTCTCCGTTTGGTTATGGACACGGAAGGCCGGAGAAATGGAAAATCTATTTCACCTTATAAATTGCCTTCCGGTTTTTCGTTCTTAAGTTTCCAGAGCCTTTTCAGGGTAACAAAGTCGGTTTTGGTCGCGTGGAGCTCAGTTTCTGGGAATGCAGAGGCCCCTGCTGATGCTGTGGTTTAGAAAGCTGAGAAGACCGGAGTGGCACAAGCAGACCAAAACCTGAAAAAGGAGTGGGCAAGAAAAATAGTACTGTTAATACATCAGCCAAGTACAGTGTATGAGCAAAGCAGCAAGAGGGAGAAAGTAATGCTGAGAACAGAAGCCCACTATGAAGCCCTGACAGCAAGCCTTTTGTGATCAAATAAAGACTCTTTTCACCTTTCAAACAATTCCTTCTCAAGGAAAGGTTACAGGTGGATTATTCATGCTTAAAGGGATAGTTCACCCAATGCTGTAAATTCTGTTATCATTTAGCCACCCACATGTCATTTCAAAACTGTATGACTTTCTTCTGTGGAACACACAAAAAAGATATGGTTCAAAAGTTGTTGTTTTTTTAAAGGAATTAATCATTTTTATTCAGCCTGGAAATATGACAAATAATATCTTTAAATGTCTTTTAGAAGACAAGTCTTATAAAGAGACATTTAGATTATAAGAAAATCTATTTCAAATAAATGTTATATTCATCTTTACATTCATTCAAAGAATCCTAAAATGTGTCACCGTTTCCGAAATAAAAATAGCAGCACAACCATTTTCAATATTGCTAAAAAACAAAACAAAAAAAGTTTCTAGAGCAGCAAATAAGCAAAGAAGAATTATTTCTGAAGGATCATGTGACACTGAAGACTGGCGAAATTATGCTGAAAATTCAGGTTTGCATCACAGAAATAAATTACATCTAAAAGAATACTAAAGTATAATTTATTTTATTTAAAATCGTAATAATATTTCACAATATTACTGGTTTTATTGTATCAAATAAATGCAGCCTTGGTGAGCAGAAGAGATTTCTTTTAAAAACAATAAAAAATATTCCTGAAACCCAAACTTTTGAACGGTAGTGTATTTTGAACGGTTTTGCCCAAGTCAGTGGGGTTCAAAACAACACTGGACCCCACTGACATTTATTGCATGGACAAAAACATTTCTTTTTATTATTATCATTTTATTATTACATGACATGATGGTAGAACTTTCATTTTTAGGCGCACTACACCTTTAAGATACATGTAACCACCAATATATGTCTAATCTTTGTGTCAGTGACATGATGCTTATTCAATTAATTTTGAAATGATTTTTTTGGGGGGGGCCCCGGTAGACCCGCATGTCTATGTGTCAATAAGTCAATAAAAGTCTCTTAAAATAGAAGATATTTTGACCTTTTTAGCCATAAAGCAATGTTAGTTAGATCCGACAAAACAAGGCACGATTTCCGCAAAAACTGTCGGTAACTACGTCAGTAAAATGTTGCCTTTAAGTATGCGACTGCACATTTAAAATGTGTTGGCCAAGCTTTCGTATCTGCGTTTACATGCCTAACCCCAAATATGATGAGCAGCTGTAGTAGTAGTAGTAGTAATTGCCTTAACATCACTATTTAAAAAACTGCTGACGCTAGTATTCTAAGTCTCAGATAACATTTTAACAAGCCAAAAGAAACATGTCAACAAAAAAAGTTTAGACGGCATACCATCTCAAACATACATGCTGTCAAAGCAAAAAAAATATATAAATTAAATCACAGGCTTAACAGTTAGTGTGGTCAGTAAAGGCAAAGAAAAGAAAAACAACAATAACCATATGCAGCGCAGCACATGGTCTTGCCTTCTCTACACACCCAAAAGACTCTGAGGGAGTAAGCAAAGCTGTCACTCTCAATAGCTGTAATCACGGCCTCTTTCGTTTCCCTCAGGGCCAATAGTCTTTACACGCCAAACCAACGTGTGAGTTTTTGAGCCATCAGGGTGGAGTGCTGTTATGATGGTTTTATGGCGTTCTGATTGAACTTTATGAGTGAGTTTACAGATGCTCTTTATTGTGAGGAAATCCGCAGTTCGAAAAAGAAAAGAGGAGGAACAGGACAGGTGAATGTGAAGGTGGATTGAACTGCTTTGACTGATGAAAATAACTCACAAACAGGAATAACGGTTAGACAAGCCCAGTAACTGGCCCTCATGTTTACAAACCATCAATTTAATTTCAGGGATGCAAAAAATAAGCAATGGGTTAGTTGCTAATCATGGTTTTCTCAAGTACTTCTGGGAAGTTTGTATTTAGGAGTTTGGAAGTGGTAATTACGACGTCAGGTGTATTCAAATCACGTTGGTCGAAGCAAGATGACAATGTAGCTACTCTACAAAAACACAGCAAGATTTTTTAATTCTACTACAAAATGATGATTAAAAAAATTTGCATTAGGAGTGTTTTTGCTTTGTGTTTTTACTGAAGATGCGCCAAACGGAACCATTATTTCTAGTGTGATTGTACAATACTATCATATTTTGTACATGCAACTTTTATTGTAAATGAAAAAATATATATAATATATTACATTTCAACAAATTTACCATGAATGAAGAAGCTGCATCCATCCATATTTTCTGGGCTCAAAGAAAATCCAGAATTTTCCATCATAATTACAACTTGTGATGGCATTTGTGTGCATTTGACTGATATATATACGATCTTTTCAACATGACTTGAACACATTATCAGTCTTTATGAAAGTGTAATAATTAGGCAGGTTTACGATTAAGAAGAAGATGCGCTTCCTAGGGGACATTTACATGAAACATGTTAAAAAAAAAAAACACCTACTTGGAGCTCAATAAATGGACGTTTTTCAAAGTCGGACAATGTTTAACTTGACACATTCTTAAAAACTGGCAGGAAAAATGCAGGTGCCAAAAATGTCCATCTAAATGTGTACGGCTGTAGTTGTACTGCTTTGAAATAGATCAATTTAAGAAGATGCAACTTCTCTCTTCTCTTCAACTAATCAAAAGAATGCTGTCAGCATGCTAATTCAAGCACCAAGGTTAAAAATAAAATCTCAACTAGTCGCCCTCACTAATTGACTGCTGCTATAATCAACCATCATGACCATCCATAATCCTAACCCAAGGGTTCAAGGTTTGGCTGGTTAGTGTAATCCAGTTAGCCCCTGCTGGTAGATGCTATAACAACTCCAAATTACAAATATTTCATTCTTCTATAAGAAATGTTCTGCCAGTGACTGATTTTTTGCAGGGCTCCACACGGACTTCATAGCTCAGGACAGTCTTTAGTTAGTGCTGATATGATGTTATTTTCTTGCAGCTTCAGAATGATCAGTCTCATGGTTTTTATGGCTCCGGTGACAAATAAAGGTTCTTTACTGGTTCCATAGAGAACCGTTAACATCCATGGAACTTTTCAAATGCACAAAAGGTTCTTTATAGTGGAAAAATGCTCTTTAGATTCTTCTTCTGGAAGTTCTTCTGCCTGTGGCACAAAAATACTTATTCTGTGCAACTGCTGCAAAACTCCTTTTTAAAGCACCTTTATTTTTAAGAGTGTGAGATAAAAAGCAAAATCAGGAACAGAGATGATGGGTTGCATACTTATGTGGCTGCGTTTGACAGTGAGTAACCTCTATTGAGATGAATGGGGATGCTAATAGATGGCTTTCTGCAAGTATTATAGACCTTGTGCTGAATAGAAATTTCTGAACACCTACAGGTTCAGTCCTGGTGTAACCTGAGGTTGATCAAGGACGCAGTGGTGATGAATCAACTCTTCTGGGGTTTAGAACTATATTCGTTAGGTTACCAGAGGTTTACTACTACACAACCCCATCAGTCCATACAGTATGTGTCTATGCACAGACATCACATATGTGGCAAAATAAACAAACAATGATATGTCATATTTCTTCATAACACCATACAACCATATACCAAACAATAGCTGCTGCTAGTTTAAGTTAAAGCACATCTAACAGAACACTGTAAACTGTTTAGCTTGTATAGTTGATATAAATTTGGCAGATTTTAATTCAATCTGCAAAGATCCATTTCGGGGGAAAAATCACCATGGTAACCACAGAGTCCGCCAAAATATCAGTTTTAGTTACTACAGATGAACTGAGAGGTAAATTGGTATTAGCCGCCGGTGTTATAACAAATAAATACATAAATAAACAGAAAGCTTATTGCACTTTATTATTACTTTACAATCTAAGCAATATTGTATTGTCGCAGAAACTCTAATTAAAGTTAGTAATTTTGTTTGAGCAAACTAGAAAATGAAACCATAATTCGGTGAAATATCACATCTATCAAAGCGCGATAGCTACAGATTTAAACCCAAACTAACTAGTAAAACTTCTCTATTAATACTTACCATTAATTTAGTGTAAAGTGTTCATTTTCGATGTGGGTTGCTGCCATAACAGCGAGTCCAGGATCAGTCGCTGGATCACTCTCTCCAGTCCAGACACTACTTCAACAACAACAACAACGAGCTCAAAGTCACCTTTAGTCAACTCTTAGTCGATAAACACACTTCGCTGTAAGTGTGAGAGCTGCTACTCGCGCTCGAGTCTTTCATACGCTATTTTCTCGGCAGTCCGTGTCGATAAACTCCAAACTGAGCGTCGGCTGCGATTTGCATGCGCGTGTTTTGAGAGCTCCAGCAGTGAGTGGAGTCGACTGGAGCGGTCCTCCCAGTGGGAGGGGGCAGCTCCGCCGCTCTGCCGCCCTCTGGGCCCCATCCGCCGCTTCGCCGCTCCGCCGCCCTGCCGCCAGACGACACTCACCGGAGCTCCTCCAGCCTCATCTTATCTAATATATAGGCTATTTGGTGAAGTACAGTATAATAATGATTTAACATAAAATAAATGTTCAATATTTACATTTAGTCATTTAGCAGACGCTTTTATCCAAAGTGACTTACAAATGAGGACAATGGAAGCAATCAAAATCAACAAAAGAGCAATGATATGCAAGTGCTATAACAAGTCTCAGTTAGCTCAACGCAGTAGCCTACACATAGCAAGTTTTTTTTTAATTATATAATACATTAAAAGAAAACAGACAGAATACAAATAGAATAGAGCAAGCTAGAGTTAGAGGCCTTTTTTTGCTTTTGTTAATTGTATAATAAATAAAAAGAAAACAAATAGATAGAATATAAAAGGTTTAGAGAAGACGTTTTGTTTGGTTTTTAGCCGATTCTTGAAGATGGCTACGGAATCAGCTGCTCGGATTGAGTTGGGCAGGTCATTCCACCAGGAGGAAACATTTAATTTAAAAGTCTGTGAAAGTGATTTTGTGCCTCTTTGGGATGGCACAATAAAGTGATGTTCACTTGCAGAACGCAAGCTTCTAGAGGGCACATAAGTCTGAAGTAATGAATTTAGGTAAAGGGGTGCAGAGCCAGTGGTGGTTTTGTTGGCAAACATTAATGCCTTGAATTTTATGCGAGCAGCTATTGGTAGCCAGTGCAAACTGATAAACAGAGGTGTGATGTGCGATCTTTTTGGCTCATTAAAAATTAGTCTTGCTGCCACGTTCTGGATTAATTCTAAAGATTTGATAGAACTGGCTGGAAGACCTGCCAAGAGAGCATTGCAATAGTCCAGCCTGGACAGAACAAGAGCTTGAACAATTTCTGGCTGTACTTGAAGGAGTTATGGTTGATGTGCCTAACTGGATGGTGAAATTGTGATGAAACGATGGTTTTGATGAAACCACAAGCAGTTCTGTCTTGGCAAGGTTGAGTTGAAGGTGATGATGGTCCTTCATCCAGCAAGAAATGTCTGTTAGACCAGCTTAGACGCGAGCAGCTATCGTCGAATCATCAGGATGGAATGAGAGGTAGAGTTGAGTGTCATCAGCATAGCAGTGATATGAGGGTTATACGAGCCTGTCTAAATGCTGAGGGAAAAACATCAGTGTGAAGGGATGTGTTAACGATGTGAGTGAGTGCAGGTACAACTGCAGGAGAAATGGCTTGAAGGAGATGAGATGGAATAGGATCAAGCGGACAAGTAGTAGGATGATTAGAAAAGATGAGTTTGGAGACTTCTGCCTCAGAGAGTGAAGAGAAGGATGTGAACGAGTGTATGTTTGCTGGTAAGATGTGCTTGACAGATTGTGGTGTGGAAAATTGTGCACTGATGGTTTTAATTTTATTAATGAAGAATGTGGCAAAGTCGTCAGCTGTTAGAGTTGATGAAGGAGGGGGAGGAGGAGGACAAAGGAGGGAGGAAAATGTTTTAAAGAGCATGCGAGCATTAGACTATACAATATATACAATATGTATCTATAGCATTAGTAAATTAGCAACATGTTAATCCACAAAATACTTACTTATATAGTCATATAGTGCCGTTCAAAAGTTTGATTTTAATGTTTTTAAAGACGTTTCTTATGCTCATCAAGGCTGCATTTATTTGATCAGAAATACAAGGAAAAAAGTAATTTTGTGAAATATTATTGCAATTTAGTTTTCTAAATTTAGTATTGCAAAATAGTTTTCTATTTTAATATACTTTAAAATATAATTTAGGCTATTCCTGTGAAGCAAAGCTGAATTTTCAGCATCATTACTACAGTCTTCAGTGTCACATGATCCTTCAGAAATCATTCTAATATGCTGATTTATAATCAATGTTGGAATCAGTTGTGGTGCTTAATATTTTTGGGGACCTGTGGATTTTTTTTTAGGATTCTTTGATAAATAAACATTTAAAAGGAAGAGTGTTTATTCAAGATATAAATTTTGTGTTTGTACAATGTACAATACTATTCAAAAGTTTGGGGTCAGTAATTTATTTTTTAATTTTTTTTAAGAAATTAATACTTTTATTCAGAAAATATGTGTTAAATGGATAAAAAGTGATAGTAAAAACTTTGTAAAGACATTGTTAGAAAAGATTTCTATTTTGAATAAATGCTGTTCTTTTTAACTTTTTATTCATCAAAGAAAAAAGTATCACAGGCTCCAAAAAATATTAAGCAGCACACTGTTTCAACATTGATAATAAATCAGTATATTAGAATGATTTCTGAAGGATCATGTGACACTGAAGACTGGAGTAATGGCTGATGAAAATTCAGCCCTGTGTCACAGAAATAAATTATATTTTAAAGTATATTAAAATAGGAAACCAATATTAGAAAGTGCAATATTATTTCACAATATTACTGTTTTGTTCTGTATTTTTTATCAAATAAATACAGCCTTGATAAGCATAAGATAATCCATTAAAAACATTCAAAATCTTACTGATCCCAAACTTTTGAATGGTACTGTATGTATTTGTGTGATATAAAATGATAAATGAAAAATATTTTAAGAATATGGAAAGCACTGTTACATCAATGAGATCATCAATAAGGCAAACATTGACATGCTTACATCAATAGTGGCATAAAAGTGCTGCAATTGTTACCTTAAAGAGCTATTCTACTTGATTTAACCTGCAAAAGATATTTTTATTTTGTTGATTCTGTAATGTTAAATAATGTAAATGTATTTAATATTAGTTTAGAGATCAATTTAGTTAAGTTAATTGAGTTACTTTAAATATTCCCATTTTTAGGTTACTTTTTTTTTGTACTGGGCAATAAAATTAGTGTGGAGAGCATCGGATAATTTGGTTTTGGGAGAATTTGATGCAAAATAATTGAGACCACATTAGCATACATATGTTTGCATCCACCTATTTTTATGTGAATTTTGGGATATTGCATATAAAACACTGGATGGAAACGCCAAGAGGCACGTAAATTAAAAAAATGCGCATAAAAACTTGTACGCTCAGTTGAATCTGATCATTTTTTATTGATGCACATAAACTACAATGGAAGCCCATTTACTGAATAAATTCCTTGATACGCATCAAAAAATAGTGTGACTTTGCCTCAGCAGATCATGTGATTGGATATTTTGGATTGGATATGTTATTTTATGTTATTTTTATCAAATGTTATTTTAATCATTTTAAAAATGCCTGAGCCAAAGTTGGTCATCGAAGTGATTTAATCACCTCCCATAACTGTCTCACAGAATTTTATTCCAAAACGCAAGATAACCCATCAGGTTTTGTTATTGCACAAGTTGTTTATTTTGTAGCAAAAAATAGCCACAGGCTTCCCCGGTTGTAGTAACTTTCATTTTTATTATTGATACTTTGTCCCAGTTTCCCAGAAAGTGATGATTTTATTCTCTTGAATACATGGGATGGAAACAGTGCTTATTCTCAAATTTATTTATGGCTCCATTGCTCATCCCCAAAAACATGCATTCACTTGTTGTTGTGTAGTAACTTAAAACTAATGGAACACAAAGTTTTTGTAACGTGCTGAGAATATGCTAACAGAAAACTGTCTGAAGAAGTTCAACCATCCATGGGCTCATTTATATGCTTAAACTTGCATGTGCACACAAACACTGTGATCTAGAAGTCTCTTTCTTCAGCCAAAGATCAAAGTGCTTCCTGTCTCCTCTCAAATGAAGTCATCTGGAACAGGATAGTGAATATGGCTCTGACAAGTGCATGAATGAGACTGTGTGCTGTGGAGAACCAGGTGAAAACTGGAGAATAAGGCTTGTGGTTCTGCATCCCTTCACCTGCTCCCACAAAGATAAGGGCGCGCGGTGATCAAAGGATCAGGGGCTGCTATCACCTTCCGGATATCCCACAAACAGATGTTGCACACCTGGGGCATGTTTAAATAAAGCAGTTAATGTCACTATCACAGTGATCACAAGCTAAAACATAGGGTAAAACCAGTACCTCGAAGCAAAAAACTGTTTATTTTCTTTTGAAGGTTTTTTTATAGAGTAAGATTCACCGCACAAAACAAAGGATATTTTTAAAACAAAATAAAGTGCCATCAAGTCCATCACTGTGACATACTTGGAAATATTTCTCCTCTAACTTTGTTGTCATTATTCACCCTCAAGTCATTCTAACCCTGTATTATTTTCTCTTTTTTTGTCTGTTAAACAAACGGGGATCCTACACTGTAAAAAAAAATAAAAAATCTGTGACATTTACGGTAAAATACCGGCAGCTGTGGTTGCCAGAACTTCATCGTTAAATATATAATAGCAACATTTTAGGTTTTACAGACTTAACTTAAATTCACAATAAAAAAACGTATTTCATTAACTGATGTAATGTTAATAAACCAGCATAGTGAAGTATTTTTGAAGTCGTTTTGAAACATTGTAATACTGATAACCACCAAAAACAGGTGGTGATGAGAAAGTCACATGATGAATCAAAGATCATCACAAACAGCTCTTCCACAAGCTGAGAAGGGATATACTAATATATATATATATATATATATATATATATATATATAGAAGGTGCACAGTGTCATACACACAAACACTAAACACCAACATGGTGACACACATGATACTGAAATAATGCAATAAACATTAATTTAACAACATTAGATGTAAGATTAAACCCTAATGACTGATGTTCCCTCCGAGGTGGCGGGGCTCACTTCTGGCCTTCCCGAAGTGGCGGAGCCCGCCATTGCCCGTTCCAAGGCGGCAGCTCCACACACACCGCTGTGGTGGCCGCTGGTTCTGCCCTGGGTCCCCATCCCGCCGGCTCTGCCCCAGTCCCCAGGTCCCCCTCTATCACACGGACCTGGGCCCCCCATCCCTCCCCC